TTATGGAGAATTTCATAGGAATACACAAATAGAATAGCATAATGACCTTCCATGTGCATATCATCCAGCTTTAATTAATTATCAACATATAGCTAATCTTGTTTCATCTAAACGCCATCTACTTCCATCTCCTTTTATTTTGAAGCAAATCTCTGAACATTAGAGCATCATTTTAAATGTAAATCGTTAAGTAGATAAGACAACGACTCCTTTTTAAGCCTACCACTATCACACCTAACATAGTTTATTAATATCTTCTGTCCTGAGTGGTGCTGTAGGGTAAACACTATACGGCTAGCCATAAGGTTGGCAGTTCAAACCCACCTGAGCCACACCTCAGAAAACCAACTCGCTGGCACTGACTGTATCATCATTGAGTGAACTACCAGGAAGCCTGCAGGCTTGCTCTTTTATCTAGCGGAGTTTAGTGTCTTCACAAGGCAATGCAACCATCACCACTAACTCATCCACCATCCTGAAAAGAAGCCTCAAATCTGTGAACGCCATTCCCACATCTTCCACTCATCCCATCCCGACCTACTTCTTGTCTATGGATTTGCCTAGTCTGAACATTTCATATAAATGGGACTGGTAGCGTAGTGGTTACGAACGAATTGGGCTGCTAACCGCTAGGTCAGCAGTTTAAAACTACCAGCCGCTCCATGGGAGAAAGCTGAGGCTTTCTGCTCCCGTACAGATTTATAGCCTCGGAAACCCTGTACAGGGTCGCTATGGGTCAGAATTGACTTCACGGCACATCACCATGGCACGCCGCCACAATATTTGTTCTTTGGGACTGTTTTTTTTCTGCCTAGCATACTTTTTCAGGGTCCCTGATGCTGAAGTATCGATTAGTATCTCACTCCTTTTTAGTGCCCAGTAATAGTCCATTTCGGGCGTCCTGGTGTGGCGCTGTGGGTTAATGTGCCAGACTGCAAAGCCGTTTGAACTGCTAGGTCAGCGGTTCAGGCTCACCAGCTGCTCCTTGGAAACCCTATACAGGGTTGCTATGGGTCGGAATCGACTTGTCGGCACCTCACAACAACAATAGTCCATTTCATGTTTATACCACATTTTCTAAGGGCTCTAATAGTATAGTGGGTTATGCTTTTGGCTGCTAACTGCAGGGTCAGCAGTTCAAATCCACCAGCTGCTCCATGGGAGAAAGGGGCGGCTTTCTGCTCCCATAAAGATTTACAGTCTTGGAAACCCTTTTCAGAGTTTCTATGAGTCTGAACTACCTGCACAGCACACAGCCATCAGTACCAGCACCAGTACCACATTTTGGTTATCCATTAATTAGTTAATGGACATTTGAGTCGTTTCCACTTTTTATGCATCCTGCTGCTGTGAACTTTTGTGTACAGTTTTTTGCATCGACATGGTTTTTTTTTTTTTTTGCATTTGTACCTAGCAGCAGAATCGATGAATCATACAGTTAATTAATTCTGCATTTCACTTTCTGGAGCAACTGCCAGAGTGTTTTCTGGAATGGCTGCACCATTTTAAGTTCAGCAATGTGTAAGGGTTCTTTCATTCTCTCTAGTCCTGACATGGTAAGCTGAACCGTGAAAGGACCTTGTCCTAAAAACTTCCCAAGAATAAAATAGCTGCCTAGAAATGATATTCTGAATTCCTTAAAAGAAACTCAAAATACTGTGATCTACATAGTCATGTGATTTTGAGTAACCATATTGTAAGTAAAAACAAATTCATTTTATTGTAATGAATAATGGTACTTCCAGCCTGTTGCCATTGAGTGCATTCCAACTCACAGTGGCCCTACGTGACTGAGAAGAACTGCCCCAGGGCTAGACAGATCTACCGAAGGAGACTGGCCCAGCCTTCTCCCTTGGCACAGATGGGACATTCAAACCACTGGTCTTTCAGTTAGCAACTAAGAATTTCACCCATTGCACTACCAGGGTTTCTCAATAATAGTAACAACTCTTGTTTATTAAGCCCTTGCCTGCGGTGTACTGAACTGAGTAACAAGTATGATGAGCCTATCCCAGACATCCACCTTTCATCCATCAGTTTGTCGTACTGTGGTGGCTTCTGTGTTGCTGTGACTCTGGAAGCTACGCCACCGGTATTTGAAATACCAGCAGGGTCATCCACGGTGGACAGGTTTCAGCAGAACTTCCAGACTAAGACAGACTAGGAAGAAGGAGAGGCATATGCAGATGACACAACCTTACTTGCTGGAAGTGAAGAGGACTTGAAACACTTACTGATGAAAGTCAGAGACTACAGTCTTAAAGTATGGACTGCACCTCAACGTAAAGAAATGAAACTCCTCACAACTGAACTAATAACCACAACTGAACTAATAAATAACATCATGATAAACAGAAAATATACTGACGTTGTCAAAGACTTCATTTGGCTTGGATCCACGGATCAGTGCTTATGAAAGCAGCAGTTAAGAGATCAAAGGACGCATTGCACTAGGCTTCAAAGTATTGAAGAGCAAAGATGTCACCTGACCGACTCAAGCCATGGTATTTTCAATGGCCTCATATGGAGTCCTGGTGTGTTGCTGTAGGATAAGCACTGGACTGCTAACTTCAAGGTCGGTCAGCAGCTCAAACCTACCTTGGAAACTCTATACAGGGTCACTTGAGGGCACTTAACAACAATAACGAAGTATGCATATGAAAGCTGGACACTGAATAAGGATGTCAATAGAGCCAGGGTGGGGAACCTTTTTTCTGCCAAACTTTATAACATCACTTATGGGCCATACGAAAATAATTGACCTATTTGGTCAAACATTTAATTAACTCACCCCAAACGTGATGGCTATTATCGTGATATAGTGCTACAGGATAATGCACTGGACCACAAGGTCAGTGGTTCAAACTTACCAGCTGCTCTTCAGAAAGCCTATACAGAATTGCTGTGAATCAGAACCCACTCGACAGTACTTAACAACAACAACAATGTAATAACTGCAGTTAGGGCTGCCTTGATTTTGCGGGCCTTAGAAGAATGGCTGCATTTGAGTTGTGGTGTTGGAGAAGAATAGTGAAAGCACCATGGACTGCTGGAAGAACACAGATCTGCTTTGGAAGAAGCACAGCAAAGGCTTAGACGTGACGATGGTGAAACTTTGTCTTTCATACTTTTGGACATATTGTCAGGAAGGACCAGTCCCTACAGAAGACATAATGCTTGGTAAAATGGAGGGTCTGCAAAAACGAGGAAGACCCCAACCAGATGAACTGACACAGTGCCAGTAACAATGGGCTGGACAACAATTGTGAGGCTGGTGCAGGACCGCGCAGTGTTTCAATCTGTTGTGCAGAGGGGTCACTGGGAGTCAGAAATGGCCTCTACAGCACCAAACAACCTATCTGTATCAATTCCTCACCAGAAGAATGGATGAAAGCAACTGAGGCTTAAGATAATTAAAGAGCTTGCTCAAAGTCACACAACTACTAAGTACCAAAGGCAAGCCCCACACTCGTCCCAGATACTCTTACCCTTTTGATGATATGGCACTGCGGTAAGTTGACAGGTCTGTGTGAAACCTGAGTTTGCAGGGCTCTTAACCAGTTCCTGTGGAAGAAAAGCTTGTGAATAACGTTAAGCAAAACTGCCACGGTCTATAATGCTTTCCTATTATAAGGAATTTCTGCTTTAGAAATGAACAGAAATAACCAGAATTAAGTCATACATCTTAGGATGTGTTCTTTCCCATTTTGCTTAAGTATCTGGAGAATGACTATAGTCTTTACCATTTTGTAAAGCAATCTTTCAAACTGCCCAACCTTGATAAATAACATTCTTATCAATGGAGAAAAGATTGAAGTTGTCAAGGACGTCATTCTTCTTGGATCAGCTATCAACACTCATGGAAGCAGCAATCAAGAAATCAGAGGACGCATTGCATTAGGCAAATCTGCTGCACAAGACCTTTTTAAAGTGTTGAAGAGCAAAGATGTCAGCTTGAGGAGTAAGGTGTGCCTCATCCAAGCCATGGTATTTTCAGTAACCTCATATGCATGCGAAAGCTGGACAGTTAATAAGGAAGACCATAGACAAATTGATGCTTTTGAGTTATGCAGGTGGAGGAGAATATTGAAAGTGCCATGGGCTGCCAAAAGAACCAATAGATCTGTGTTGGAAGAATAACCACTGCCATTGAGTTGGTTCCAGCTAAAAGTGACCCTGTCTAGGGTTTTCAAGGCTTTGAATCTGTACAGGAGCAGAAAGCCTCATCCCTCTCCCACAGAATAACTGGTGGGTTTGTAGTTAGCAGGCTAGTGCCTACTATTTGACAGTGAAGATAACCTACCTTTGTTTTCCAAGTTCTAGTAAGTTTATTTTGTAGGTAAGTATTCTAATTCCGCCAATAGTGAAGGGTAAAACAGAAACCTAGGGTAAAAAAGATAATAAAAGAGCTCATTCTAAAAAGCAATTTACTAGAGTTTGAAAATGTTGACTAATATATACAGGCAAAAATACAATTTTACAAAATTACAAATCAAAGAAAATAAGCTATAGTAACAATATATTGGATTTTTGTTGCATTTATAGGAAATGCCAGGTTGCTACGTTGAACGTAGTACAGACCATTTTTGGAGGCCATTTTGGCACAGTGGGTTAAAGCATTGGGCTGCTCAGTGCAAGGTCAGCTGAAAGATGTGGAAAAAGCTGAGACGTCTACTCTCTTAAAGATGACCCGTCTTGGAAACGCTGAGGAGTGACCCTGCGCTCTCCTGTGGGCTCCCTATGAGTCAGACTCCGCACAGTGGCCATGGATTTGGGTTTTAGCTGAGGCTTGAGCCTCTCACCAGTGCGTCTGTGTGAGGAGAGGAGGAGGCGCCATGGCTTTTACTTGACCACCATCTCCATCACAGTCAGTGGTGTGGGACTGTGTGTACCCATGTGTGGATTTTTGGGTTTCCTCATTTCTGGAGGTGATTCACTCTAAGAAATACATGAGCATTTTAAGATTGGTTCATATAAACATTTTGTTCATTTTTAAGCAGCTGATTTAGAAGAAACTTTTAATGAGCATGAACTGGAGCCCTCATCACCTAAAAATAAAAAGAAAAGTCGTAAAGGAAGGCCAAGAAAAACGAATTTTAAAGGGCTGTCTGAAGACACCAGGTCCACATCCTCCCATGGGACAGATGAAATGGAAAGTAGTTCCTATGTAAGTAAATGATTCTGTGTGCTTTTTTGTAGCACCATGAGTCTTTCAGCTATTTCTAGTTCAAGTTCAGCATTTGAAATGTTAAATCAGTAATGGTGCTGGTAGCATATTTTCATGGATTTAAAAAAAATGATTTTTTTCTCTTTCCTTTTGTGTTGGCAGAGAGATAGGTCCCCACACAGAAGCAGCCCTAGTGACACCAGGCCTAGGTGTGGGTTTTGTCATGTAGGCGAGGAAGAGAATGAAGCTAGAGGAAAACTGCATATATTTAATGCCAAAAAGGCAGCTGCACATTATAAGTGCATGGTAAGTAAGCATGGTTCTTTTATTGTGCTTTTAAACCCAAGTTATTTCGAAAATCATTCAGCAAGTAATAAACAGCAATTTTCTCAGCTGTGGTGTTTACGAATTATGAAGAGCATGTCCTGTGGCAGCCTTTACACTTTAGTAGAGGCTCCTGGATAGCATAAATTGCACTTGACTAGTAACCAGAAGGTTGGCAGGTCATATTTACCCACCAGCGCTTCAAAAGAAAGACCTGGTGATCTAGGTCCTTAAGATTGTAGCCATTGAAAACCCTACAGAATGGAATGCAGTTCTCCGAAACGAGTTGCCTGAGTCAGAGTTAACTCAACAGCAACTGCCGTACTTTTTTCCTGCCTTTCTTTTTTCCCCGTATACCTGAGTAGGGTTTGAAGTAATCCTAATTATAACTAGTTGTTGTTGAGTCAAGTCGATTCCTACTCACGGCCATCCTATAGGTATCAGAGGAGAGCTATGCTCCATAGTGTTTTCGATGGCTGGTTTTTGGAAGTAGATTACCAGGCCTTTCTTCTTGAGGAGCCTCTGGGAGAACTCGAACAGCCAACCTTTCAGTTAGCAGCCAAGTGTATTAATGGTGTCCACTACCAAGAGACTTCATTCCAATTATAGTCATTATGTTCCATATAGGCTGTAACTAACTAGACTAGCTTACATTATTAGTGTAAGATTTTCAGCCTTGTAATACTGTTACAGATGTCTCTATTATTAACTTGACATGCCTGTTAGCAGTTATTCACCTATAGCCTAATTCTCCTAGTGTATTTTTCACTTCCTTGAGGACAAGGAGTATATCTTATCTTTGCATATTTATTTAGATGCAGACCTGACATATGGTAGACATACATAAGTATTTTTGAATTAGATTGTATTGCTCACATTTATATTTAGGTTTTTTACAGATATCAGATATTCTTAATTAAAGATGCACAACAGATTTACTTGGGGACTTTATCCAAAATATGTGCACCCAGGCCCCCCCATGTCTGTTTTGAGGGGAAAATCCCCAGATGATTCTGATCTGCATCTGTGATTGAAATTTGCTGATTTAAACCCTTAAAAACCTGTCAGAAATGTACAACACTTGGGAGACAACAGAGTTCCAAATCACAGGTGTTTGAAGCAAGACAGTATTTCATCTGCACTGCACATTGCCAGTTGCAGTTCTATTTCATTCTTACTTTGGTTTATATTTTTATCATGTTGTCATTGCTGAGTGTCATCGACTAGGTCCCAACTCTTAGCAACCCTGTATAGGGTTTCCAAGGACCGGCTGGTGAGTTTGAGCCACTGCGCCACATCAAGGCTCCATGTAAATATATTTTTTAAATACTTGAGTTGCTATATAGTTATTAAGGGGAAATTCCCTGTGTCAGGAAATTAAACTAAGACCCATTTGTTAATTTGTTGTTGAATCTGTTTCTCACAAGGATTCTGGGTGTTAATAGTCCTGCATTTTTCTTCTCTAGCTGTTTTCTTCTGGCACAGTCCAGCTCACAACCACATCAAGAGCAGAATTTGGAGATTTTGATATTAAAACTGTACTTCAGGAGATTAAGCGAGGAAAAAGAATGGTCTGTAATTTAATATTGAGGTTATACGATGTTGCTCTTGATTTTCTGCTTTAAATTTAGAGTGCCTCTCAAATCTATCCAGTCATCAAAAAATTAAAGTGGTTTTTTTTTTGTGGACGGTTTTTGTAATTAATAAGAAGATAATATTTCTCTCTTCTATGTAACTTTATTACTTAAAACTATACTGACGTTTATATTTTGGGGTATGTGAGCATCTTCTAATAAAACGAAGGTGTGAGTGTGACATACTTTATTAAGTAAAAATGTCATGGAGGGGCTTCAAAATTTTGTTGAAATATTCCATTATCGTTTACTTCCATGAACTCTTTGAAACCCCCTTATGTGTAATTGTTTAAGTTTGCTTAAAGAAAAATTCTTTAACTCTTAATACTTGTATAGCACTGAGAACTGAGCACTGATTATTTCTTTTTAAACGAAAGGTTTTTTAAGTATTAGTGTCTCCTGATCAAATATTCCTATACAGTTCATGAATATTATAAAGTATCAGTGGAATGCAAAGTGTTTTTTATTGTGAAAGTTTTCAAACATATCAAGATTGAGAGCATAGTAACACTCATATGTCCTCTGTCTTTTGTCATTGTTGTTGGAAGCACTTTCAAACAGATTTCAGACTACATGTCATTTCACCGCTACATATTTCAGGACTCATTTGTAAGAACTTCAGTAATTTCTTCCTTAATCCCAATACCTTTACACTGCAAAAATGAAGAAGGACTTTTCAGTGTCATTTATTCCTCAGTTCATAGTCGTATTTTCCTGTCTTTTTTAAAGATGTGTGAGTCAAGCTCCAAACAAGGACCACACATTACATTTTGTTGTTCAATAATCTCTAAATCATCTAGGGAAGTTTCTTCATTCTTTTTGTTAGTTTTTTGGTTTTGTTTTGGTCAGGTAAGATGGGAAGGAGATTTGTGTGCCATTGATTTATTGAAGAAAGGGGGTTACTTCTATAGAATATCCCACAATTTTTACTTGTATGTTTGCTTTCTGTTTTTGAAAATGTCAGTATGTATTTCACTTTAAAAGTTGAAGACCCCATGTGAATAGGCATCTTTTATGCTGTTTAAACAACGCAAGGAAGACGTCATTGGTCCTGCATCGTTTCTTATCATCAAGGCCATATTTTCCAAACACTGATCCTCCCTCTTTTTTTCCAGTCTTTGCCTTCTGATCACCAGTAATTATCAATACATCATGATTGCATGGTTGATCATTTTCAGACCGAAGAAATTGTAGAATTCATCATCAATAGCATAAGTGGTTGATGTGTAAATTGAAATAACAGTTGTATTAACCGGTCTTCAGTGTAGGTGTAGGCATATTATTCTATCACAGACAGCACTGTACTTCAAGATAGATCTTGAACTGTTCTTTTTGATGATGACTGCATGCCATTCCTCTTCAATTTGTCATTCCTAGAATAATAAACAATGTGATTTTCTGTCTGGGGGTTAGGTACGTCAGTCTCGGTCCTTTGAGAAGCAGACGTCAAGGCAAGATTAGATGTGCAAGAGATTGATTGTGGGGGAAGGAGCTGGTTGAAGTGATACCAGACTTCTGCTGACGCTAGAGCTTCGGCTCTAAACAACACCTGGGTTCTTGCTCAAATTGTAAATTTTCAGGCCACGCCACAGAGCTCTTGACACAAACTCTGAGGTTAAGGCATAGTATCAAACATGGGGATAAGGTTGGGGGGACAGGTGCAAGCTAAAGTTTGGGAGCTTGAGAATCGGGTCAGTAAGAAGAGCCTAGAGACTCCCACCTTGAACTTTAATGGAGACCTAAATAGAGTTAATTTTGATTCAGGAGGTGCCAAGGAATAGCCGTTGAGTCTAGTAGTGGGCTCCGTATGTTTGTTTTCAAGTGGAAGTTTAAGATCTAAAGGCTCGATTCAATCCTGTGTCAACTTTTGAGGGAGTCACAGTCCCAGGTGGGAGGGGCTCACATCAGAGCGTTATACTGTTGATCCTTGGATTCAGTGAGAAGCCCCATCCCTCCATTGTGGCATGTCCCTTCAATATTTCATCTAATGCTCTCACACATCCATGATCTTGGTCTGAAGCCATGAGAAATAGCTTTTTGCAGAACGGCACTTTTGAGGGTAAAGGTAAACATTAAAATAAGCCTGTACTAGATGGTATATATGAAAATGCATCTCTAATAGTCTGATTAAGGATTTGGATAAGACACTTGGAAGGCTAGCAGTGTGCAAATGGCTGCTCTTTAGATGCAGCAACGTCTGTTAGAAATAAAACTCCTTTATAACCAACCCCCAAATCAAACCCACTGCCAGTGTTTTTGTTTCTGATTGAAACAACCATGTGTAGGGTTTCCAAGACTGTGACTCTTTCCAGGAGTAGACAGCCTCATCTTTCTCCCATGGAGTGGCTGGTGGATTTGAACCACTGACCTTGTGGCTAGCAGTCCAGTGCTTACCCTACAGTGCTACCAGGACTCCTCTCCTTCATAATGCAGCCTATATTGTTGTTGTTAAGTGCCGTCTAGTTGGTTCCAACTCATTGTGACCTGGAATAGGGTTTCCAAGGAGCAGCTAGTGTACTTGAAATAACAACCTTGTGGTTAGCAGTCCAGTGCTTGTCCTATAGTATCACATCAGGACTCCAATAGAGTCTATGCTGTTAAGTGCCATCGAGTCAGTTCAGACACATTGTGAATCCTGTATAGACTGGGCTTCTGAAGCTTTCGATCTTTGCGGGAGCATTAAGCTGCATCTTCCTCCTGAGGAGCAGCTGGTATATTTGAACCGCGGACCTTATGATATACAGTCCAATGCTACCAAATAGAGCCTATAGCAGGAATGGGGGAACCTTTTTTCTGTCAAAATTTATGACATCAACTTAAAATTTATCAACTTAAAAAATTAGCCTGTTATATTTGGTCAAACATTTAATTAACTCACCCCCAATGTGATGGCCTCTTGGTCCATGTACAGATTCCTCATGAGCACAATTAAGTGTTCTGGAATACTCATGCTTCGCAATGTTGTCCATAGCTTGTCATGATCCACACAATCGAAAGCCTTTGCAATAGAAAGCCTTGCGTAGTCAATAAAGCACAGGGAAACATCTTTCTGGTATTCTCTGCTTTCAGCCAAGATCCATCGACACCACGAGGCAGTTGTTTGAACAGAACATGGGAACACTAAATGGTTTAAAATTAAGAAAGTTGTGCGACAGGGTTGTATTCACTCACCATATTTATTCAACCTGTATGCTGAACAAACACTCAGAAGCTGGGTTCTATGAAGAAAAACATGGCATCAGGATTGGAGGAAGACTCATTAACAACTTGCGCTATCCAGATGATACAACCTTGCTTGCTGAAAGTGAAGAGGACTTAAAACATTTACTGATGAAGATCAAAGGCCACAGCCTTCTGTAGGGATAACATCTCAACATAAAGAAAACAAAAATCCTCACACTGAACCAATAAACAACATTCTTATTGATGGAGAAAAGATTGAAGTTGTCAAAGACTTCATTCTTCCTGGATCAACCATCAACACTCATGGAAACAGCAGTCAGGAAATCAAAGGACATATTGCATTAGGCAAATCTGCTGCACAAGACCTTTCTAAAGCGATGAAGAGCAAAGATGTCATCTTGGGGACTAAGGTACACCTGACCCAAGCCATGGAATCTTCAATAATCTCATATGTATGTGAAAGCTGGGCAGTGAATAAGGAAGACTGTAGAAGAATTGATGCATTTGAGTTGTGGTGTTGGAGGAAAATAGCAAAAGGTACCATGGGCTGCCAAAAGAAGAAACAGATCTGTGTTGGAAGAAGTGCAGCCAGAGTGTTCCTTGGAGGCTAGGATGGCCAAACTTCATCTCTCATACTTCGGACATATTGTCAGGAGGGACCAGTCGCTGGGCAGGGATATCATGTTTGGTAAGGTGGAGGGTCAGAGAAAAAGAGGAAGACCCCCCCACACACACAATGAGATGAATTGGCAAAGGGGCAGCATCAGTGGGCTCCGGCGTGGCAACAATTGTGAGGTTGGCCCAGGACCGGGCAGTGTTTTGTTCTTAGAGTCTCTATGAATCGGTACCGACTCAATGGCACCTAACACCAACAGTGATGGCTTGGAGTCCTGGCATGGCACTACAGGTTAATGCACTGGACTCCAAGTTAGGCAGTTCCAACTCACCAGCCACTCCTCAGAAACCCTACATAGGGTCGCTGTGAGTCAGTACCAACTTGAAGGCACTTACCAACAAATGTGATGACCTGGTGTGGCACTGTAGATCCACATGGTCGGCAGTTCAGATTTTCAACAGCTGCACTTTAGAACAACAGCAATATGATGGCTGAAGCCATGCTTGCCTTGGCAGGGCCAAACCAAATGATTTCGCTGCACGTTCTCCACCCTGACCTATAGTATTTTTAAAATTACTTCTTTATATCATGCAGAGCAATGTGTTCTGCAGCCAGAGTCAAAGTATGTGACTTGCTGGCACGTAACAGCAACTTGTTACGTGCCAGTTGTCTTGATTAATTATTGTTTATCTCTGTACTACTGAAGAGCTTGGTAAACACTAACCTAGCATTTCCCTGTGTGTATTCCAAAGGAAATTAGTACATCAAGATGCTCTTCTACCCCCCCCCCCAAAAAAAAAGGGTATCTTGGGAACTATTTAGTATACTTCCATCCTAGAGAAAAGGCTGTACAGTAAAGCAATCTGCTTAACCTAGCATTTCAGCGGACTCACAACTCCTTTTGTCTTCACCAACCACCTTCAAATCTCAAAATATTCTTTAAGCAAAATTGATGTAGATCAAATGGAGTCTTGAAAAGACAGACAAGCCTTGTTAGAGTCTATGCTGTTTTCTACTTGGTAAGAATTCCTCTCAGGAAGGTTGCTTTTCTGGTTTCTAATTCTTTGCTATATTCCTAATAAGAAAGGATCTAATCAGAGGTGGAGGGGTGTGCCAACCAATATACTAAAGAATGTCCTTTTTTTGTGTGTTGTTTTTAGCAATATTAGTGAGCATCTTACTCTGGTTAGGTGCCAGATCTCTGTTGGTGATTATGGTTTTTCTAACGAGTTGGCAGTGTTGCAAATGTTATATATTGGCAATGTGAGAGAATTATTTAATATTAGAAACTTTATCAAAGTAGGGATTAAATTGCAGTAAGATTCCATATAAGTATATATGTGCTACATATAAATTCAGTGTACTCTTTTTTGCCAGTAGAAAATATAGATGGTTTCTTTTTGTTTTGTTTTGTTTTTTGTGAATTGACATGTTTGGCTGAAATATGCCAGAATAAAATAAGTAAGATTGCATAAACTTTGAAAAACTGCTCATGATTCTTTCATTCTGTTTCATGTAACAGAAATGTACACTTTGCAGTCAGCCCGGTGCTACTATCGGATGTGAAATCAAAGCCTGTGTGAAGACATACCATTACCACTGTGGAGTACAAGACAAAGCTAAATACATTGAAAATATGTCACGAGGAATTTACAAGTAAGAAACAGCAGTTGTCCATTTCCCTAAAAATCAGTAAGTTGTTTTTACGTGCCAGCAAGTCGATTCTGACTCATAATGACCCTGTATAGGGTTACTGAAGCTGTACATTTTTGGCAGGAGCAGAAAACCTCATATTTCACCTGTGGAGCAGCTGGTAGGCTCGAACTGCTGACATTGTAGCTCGCAGTTCAGTGCTTATCTTACAGAGATGTCATTACTTTACTCGACCACTATTCTTAGGTGATGTTAAGCCTGGTGTAGAAGACTGCAGCTTTTATATAAGGCATTTTCCTCTGCATGTCACTGTGTTCATATTCGCTCAACTACTGTTTAGTATGCTTGCTATGTGCTGGGAATTGGACACACAATGCTCAAAGCAAACACAGGCACCTGGAAAGAGTTGGATTGGCAAAAGTTGTGTGATAGGATATATTTACAACAGTGACAAAAATAAATAAAAAGATTAAATGCAGCTTCCTTGGTTTGGAGGCTTGGGGTCATGGTTTCATGGAACATCCCAGTTAATTGGCCTAATGCAGTGGTTTGTGGGGGGGTGTTGTTGTTTTTTTGTTTTTTTTAAAGGCATCATATAATTTTATTTTGGAACATTATGATCTTCACCCTATTCTTGAGCATCTGCTTTCTAAATTAGAGAAATGAGTATAGGCATTGTAGATGGTAAGATAAGAGTTCAAACCCAAACTCCACCTAGGTTTGGGTGACATTGGCCCAAATTCCTTTATGTTATAGATACTCAACTTCCTCTTCTTATAAACTGGGTGCTTGGATGCCTGTCTCATAGGGCATTTTGAAGCTTAGCTATCTTGTTGACGTAAAGATTCCGACTTTCTTGTTGTTGTTGTTAGGTGCCATTGAGTCGGTACC